TTTACTACACCTTGCTGTTGATGGGCGTAGGGAAGGGAGATGAGCCGCTTGATTCCCCTTTCCGCCAGGTACTGCTTGAATCGCTGAGAGGTGTATTCTCCTCCTCCGTCTGACTGGAAGCTTTTCAGTTTCACGCCCGATTCTCTCTCTGCTACTGGTAGCCAAGCAACGAAGGCTTCGAATGCCATGTCGCGGCTAGGGAGGTTTAGGTGGGAGACGTAACGGGTGGCAGCGTCGATGAAGGTGATTGTATAGTTGTATATCACTTGTCCTGGTTCCCGATTGAACAGGATGTCGCTATACACCTTCTCGAGTGGAGCGTACGCGGATGCGCTCGGGTTGTGATGAGACGCAAACGGTCGATGTGGTAAGTCACCTTCAGGGCAGGTGAAGCACGTTCCGCGTACTCGTTGAAGTTCTCGTCCGTCGGTCAGTAGGAGTGAGTCCTTGTCGAGTACTCCTGCTCTTATCGTATTGTTTAATACTGTGTTGCTTGGGTGTCCCATCCTTGCGTGTCAGGTGCTTTCGTCGGCGCGATGTCCGGGTGATCGTCGGTACATATCAGAGTTGGAGTAGAAGTTGGCGGTGAAGTTGGCGCTACGATGAACTTCTCGTGGTGCTGGGTGTAGTTGTTGCGCGGGTGTCGGTGGTGTGTCGTCGATGAGGAGCGGTGTCGTTGAAGGACCAGCAATTGGTGTTGACGTTCTTGCTGCTGCCGTTGATGGTTCTGCTACTGTCGATGTTGTCTCTGCTGCTGCCGATATTGTCTCTGCTGCTGCCGATGTTGTCTCTCCTGCTGCTGATGTTGTCTCTGCTGCTGCTGATGTTGTTTCTGCTGCTGCTTATGTTGTCTGAATTTTTGCTAACGCCTTTGTTCTTTCTGCTTCGGGGATGGTGTGTGAATACCAGAAGCCTTCTGGACTGAAGTCTCGATCAAGGTCTGGAGGGTGTGTCTAGTTGGTGAAGTTAACGATGGTGTCGCTGTCGGCGGTGCCGAGATCAGGAACGAAGTCAAGAACGAAGACGTTGTTCTTGAGGACCGCCTTGCCGATGTAGAGTCCTCCTCTCCCGTGATACAGCTTGAATTCTTGGGTGGTGCTGTCTGCTTCGAGGTGAATCCCTTTCGCCATTAGCTGACTGACGCTCAGTAAGTTGTAGCCGAGTCCCTCCGCGATTAGTACTTTTGACATCTGCAGTATAACGTTTGTTTCCCTTGACTGAAGTTGAACTACGCCTTGTCGTCGTGTTCGCAGGTTCTGATTGTTGGCGACTGTAATGACAACTTCGCGTTGAAGTTGGTGTTCTCGTTGAACGAAGCGTCCCAAGGAGCACATGTGATGTCCGCAGCAACTGTCCAAGAACCATGTGTCCTTTCCGGATGGTTCGCTTTGGGCGATGGCGGCGTATGTCGGGTTCGGCTGAAGTGACTCGCGGCAGGGTGTGGTTTCGTCGAGTTGTTCTTCCGGTGAGTAGTGTGGTGGTGACTCGGTGATGCAGGAGTCACTCAGCTTTGCCATGCAGCTGACGATGTTTCTTGCTCCTTGTGCAGGTTGTAATGTTGAGGTCGTTGAGGCTTGAATCTGAGTCGTGGGATTTGCTTGCGTTGAGGCGATTTGGCTGCTTGAAGGTCGAAGTTGCCGCTGTGGAGTTGTTGACTGTTGACGATTCGGGCAGTGCGTACGCGGGTGTCCTGAAGTTTTGCAGATGTGGCAGAACAGTGACGAGAAGTGAGAATGGAATGGATGAACTATGAAACAGTTGGGTACAAGTACTAACCCTAATTGGGTTGTACCCCTTATGGGCTACCCCACTACAGCCTACACAAATGTATAAGCTATAATGTTCTGACACACCCCCATAGGCAAAGTGGGGGAGAACAAGTGGTCACAAGACCAGTCAAGCAAAGCAAAGCAAGCTCAGGGTGGATCACAAAGTCACCACACATTCCGAGCACAAGAGTAAGGCCACAAGGCCAGTTCACATGCAAGGTCATATATATAAAGGTAAAACAAGCAAGGGCAGGTATAGAAAGAAGACAGTACAAACAAGATCAAGAAGTGAGCAAGTAAGGCCAGGTAGGCACAAGACCTAGCACAGTACAGAAGCGCTGATGATCACAAGGTGGAAGGGCCTTGGTGAAGATATCAGCAGTGTTGCCCTCAGAGGCCACGTAGGTGAGGTGGAGCTGACCACGCTGCTGCAGCTCACGAGACAGGAAGTAGCGGAGAGCAATGTGCTTCGTTCTGTGCTCCAGTCTCTGCTCCCAACACAAGGCCAGCATGGCCTTGTTGTCTACGTACAGAACTGGAGGAGAACGAGGCGGCTCTCCTAGGTCAGTCAGCAAGTGAGTGAGCCAGCGTAGCTCCTGTGCAGCCATGGCCCCTGCGTAGATCTCAGCCTCACAGCTGGAGCCGAGAACAGAGGACGAGCGGGTAGACCGCCACGAAACAGAGCCGGAGCTAAGGCTGAAGGTATAACCCTGTGACGACCGCTGCATAGCCTGGTCGTCAGCCCAAGAAGCGTCAGCGTGACCTGTGAGGACTATTCGACGTCGCCCTCCAAGCACTAGCCCCATGCCCGACGTACTGCACACGTAGCGCAACACCCTCTTCGCTGCAGCCATGTGCTCTGGTCGGTGTCTCCCAGGAGCAACATAGCGTGCCAAGATGCTAAGAGGGTATGCAAGGTCGGGTCGTGTGCAAGTCATCAGGTACATGAGGCAGCCAACAAGCTCTGGGTACGGGCCACTCGACTCTACGGACTCATCCGAAGGCAGAGCTGAGAGCGAGTGGCGAGTAGACAGAGGAGTGGCCTGAGGCGAGGAGTACGTGAAGCCGAAGCGCTGAAGGACCTGCTGCACCATGTGTGACTGAGTCAGGGTAATGGTACGCTGTGCTCTGTCCCGGGTGATCTGCAAGCCAAGGTAGCTGCGCAGTTCACCCAGGTCTGTGAACGTGTGTCTCTTCTGCAGCTCGGACTTCACGTGGGCGAGTCCAGCAGTGTCAGCAGTGGCAAAGACCAGGTCGTCGACGTACACGAGGATGTAGAACGGCGGCAAAGAGGTGTCGGTGCGCAGAAACAGCGACGGGTCGGCTGTAGAAGGAGCAAACCCAAGAGCCGCAAGTGTAGTCCTCAGTGTGTCGTGCCACTCAGGGGCGCCTGGCGGAGACCGTAGACTGGCCGTCGGAGGCTCCACTGGGTGCTAGGAGGAAACGACCCAGTGAAGCCAGGAGGGCGGCGCAGCCAGATCTCCTCGTGCAGGCTGCCCTCGTGCCAGGAAAGCAGTGCTGAAGTCAAGAGAGTGAAGCTCGTAGTCGCGCTGAGCGGCTATGTGCAGCAGCACCCGAAGAGTGGTCATCTTCGGGGTGGGAGAGAAGGTCTGAAAGTAGTCAACTCCCTGCCGCTGACTGAAGCCTCGAGCCACGTAACGCGCCTTGAAGATAGGCGGAGAGCCCGGCGGCCGCTTCGCCCTGAAGATCCACATCCTACTAACGATATTCGCCCCAGGTGGGGGAACCTCGTCGACGTAGGTGCCTGTGGACTTCCAGGAAGCCATCTCTGCGTCCATGGGCGACTGCCACTGAGAGGAGTAGCGACCCTCGATCGCCTCAGCGTACGATCGAGGAGTCGGGATGTCTGGTGCATCCGGGTCTCCCTCAGGGGCAATCAGCGTGGACACGAGATGGGACAAAGCAGCCGCAAAGCACTGGAACTCCTCCTGCCTGTCCTCAAGGACGTCCGTGCTAAGAGCACACTCACCCCCGACGGATGGAGGACAGAAAGACTCAGACTCAGCAACAAGACTAGCAGCGTAGTCTAGACGACAGCGAGCAGCGAAGTCGACAAGCTCAGCAACGAGAGCAGACGCAGCAGCACACTCAAAGGAAGGGTCAGTGACGACAATAGCAAGAAGGCGCGTGACCGAAGGACTAGCAGCACGAAGAGAGTCAGACTCCGGGTTAGTAAGAGAAGGAAGAGAGGACTCTGGAGGAGACGGCAATGGGACACGCAGAGGAGCAGTGGAAGGACGCAGTGTTATCTGGTGTGTGCCGGGGACCGCAGGAGGACGCGGACGTGCAGTACGACCACTAGTGCGAGCAGCATGAACAGGTGACGCGGGACGAGACGCAGGCTCACGACGCTCAGCAAGACCTCCAGTAGGACCAGTGTAGGGAGAAGGAGCAGGTAGAGGGGAGGCGGGCGGTAACTGTGACTGCGACTGGACAGGCGGTGGACACTCTAGGGGAGGAGTAGGACCAGTAGAGGGCGGAAGACCAAGAACCTGCTCCAGGAGCGGAACGAAGTACGGCCTCGGCCGCTCAGCGCCTCCGGAACCAGCAAGTACGGCACCACTACCCCCAAAAGCAGCACCAGCGCCAGCAAAACCTCTAGCTCCAACAGCGCCAACTCCAGTACCCCAGAAGCACCAGTGCCAGCAGCACCGGCAGCGCCAACACCCCAAGCAGCTCCAGCTCCAGCAGCACCAACTCCAGTAGGACCGTCAGCACCAGCTGCCTCAGCAGCACCCCCAGACGCACCAGCACCAGTAGAAACACCAGCGCCAACACCCCCAGCAGCTCCAGCTCCAACAGCACCAACTCCAGTAGGACCGTCAGCACCAGCTGCCTCAGCAGCACCCCCAGACGCACCAGCACCAGTAGAAACACCAGCGCCAACACCCCCAGCAGCTCCAGCAGTACCCCCAGACTCAACAGCACGTCTCCAGCGGCGGGCGAACCACACGCGCAGCTCCTGTGGAGAGAGCGGCTCCCGCCTCGACGAAGTACCGCCGGCGGCCACACGAGCAGACCCAACACACCCAGGCTCCGCACCCCCAGACTCAGCACCCCCTGGCTCAGCACCCCCAGGCTCAGTACCTCCAGTCTCAGCACCCCCAGACTCAGCACCCCCAGACCCGGCACCCGCAGACCCGGCACCCGCAGGCTCAGCACCTCTAGCAGCACCAGAGTCAACAGCTACCTCGACAGGCTCGACTGCGTCTACCTGGGACACACCTGAAGGGGTAGGACCCTGAGGAAGGAGGGGGTCTACCTTGGTAGCACCTGGCGCAAGGAAGAGCGGCGGCGGGGGGAGGGGCGCAGTGCGGTAGGGGAAGAGACGGTAGTAAGGCACCGACTCGTCAAAGGTGACGTCCTGGGAGGACAGAACACGGCGCGTGGTGGGGTGGTAAAACTGCCAGCCAGGCGCGTCAGGGGGGAAGCCAAGAAAGACGCAAGGAACAGCATGGGGGGACAGCTTGTCCGCAGACAAGTCGCGGACAAACGCCCGAGATCCCCAGACCCGAAACGCAGATGCATCGCCAACCTTCCCTGTCAACCGCAAGGTGGGGGAGGTCTTTGGGAAGGAGACCCGGGGCTGAAGGTTGAGTTGATGCGCCGCGTACTGAACCGCAAATGGCCACAGAAAATGGGGGGCAGCCGCATGCATCATGGACGTACGCGCGACGTCCATGACCATGCCAATGCGGCGCTCAGCAATCCCATTTTGCTGTGGAGAGGCCGGAAGCGTGAAGGTCTGGCGGATGCCCTATGCCCGACAGAAGGCTCCCAGACGGGCAGAGGAAAACTCCCCTCCTCTGTCCGAGTGCAGACGCAAAATAGGAAAGTCCGAGCCGAAACTCTCTCTGAGCTGGAGACGAGCTGCGCAGATCCAGTCGATCAACACCTCAGTGACGTCACCCTTGCTGCGCAAGGGGAAGACTGTGGTGTAACGCGAGTAGTCATCAATGACCAGCAGAAAGTACCGCTCTCTCCCCTGCCCACTGACGCGGGCTGGGCCCCACACGTCCATGTGTAGAGTCTGCAGCGGAGCCTCTGTCGGAGGAAACTCGGAGGAGTGAGGGGCGGCGCGCTGTCGCCCCTCGACGCAGGGGACGCAGGTAGGACCAGGCCCCGGAGGAAGGGGAGGGAGAGACCAAGGAAGACCAGAGACAAGGACACGGGAGGCCATGCCTCGGAGACGAGGCAAGGAGGGGTGACTAAGGCGGTGGTGCCAAAGGAGAGTTTGGTGGGACAGCAGACGACACGAGCAGGGGGCAGACTCAGAACCAGACCTGGACGCCGCAGCAAACACCTGACTCGACGCAGCTACCTGAGTCCAGGGTGAAGGTGTGGAAGGCCTGAGCCGACGTAGTACCTGAGAGAGCAGACTCACCAGCACCTTGGGCGGCAGACGCACTAGCACCTGGGGCAGCAGACGCACTAGCACCTAGAGCAGCAGTCTCACCAGCACCTAGCACAGCAGCCTCAATGCCCGGGTCAGGCGGTACACACAGGTAACAGGCACCCTCAACACTATCAGCAACAGCATACATGGCAGCAAGAATAGCATCAAAGTCAAGATCAAAGATAGTAGCCCCGGCCTTAGCCAGATCTCCCCAGCGAGGGATCTCTGACGCCTCAGGGAACTGGCGACGCCACGCGTCCGTCAGGCGACCAAAGCAGCGCTGGGTGGAGTGCGGACCTCCGCACTGCTCACCAGTGCGGTCGCCGGTACGGAGAACGTAAGAGCAGGGACCAAAACCCCCACCGCGCTGGCGTGCAGTGTACCACTCACAAAGCTGCTGAGGGGACAGGGTCACACCACTCCGCTGCTGCTGCTAGCGCTCACCACCACCGGCGCCACTCCTCGGCGCAGAGTAGCGACTCGCTCCACCACCGCCGCCTCCGCCGCCGCCGCCGCCTCCGCCGCCTCCGCCGCCTCCTCCACCTCCGCCTCCTCCACTACCTCCGCCGCCTCCGCTCCCTCCGCCACCTCCACCGCCTCCGCCGCCTCCACTGCTGCCGCCGCCGCCGCCACCCCCAGCACCACTCCCACCACCACCCCCACTCCCTCCACCGCCTCCACCACCACCTCCACCGCCCCCTCCACCCTCTCCAGTGCTCTTGCCCCCCTTGCCCTTGCCGGTGCGGCGTCTCCCGCTCGGGGCAGATGCAGCGCCGACCGACTCGAAACCAACGAGGTCGGCCGCAGCAGCAGAGGCAACAGAGGGCAAGAGAGGGGAGGAAGAACACCCCTCAAAGACGGGGGTGCGAGGGTCACCACGAGAGGCTCCTACAGCGACTATGCTCTTCTCTATCGCTAGGAGGGCCTTCTCGAGGAGGTCAACGGTGAGAGTGGTGGGGCAAACAGAGAGGAAGCGGTCCCTGACTCCACTGAGAGTCAGGGAGACGGGTGACTATGTAGTAGAGGGTGATGTACATGGGGGGGGGGGCTTCTTGGCGCAGAACTCAGCAGGAAGCGCAGCGCGGTAGCGAGTGTCACTAGTGGGGAGGTGCGTAATGAGGTCAGCGACTGTGGGAAAGGCAGCAAGGTCAGGGAAGAGGTACGGTAGCATGAGGCGGCTCAGTGCAGCAGTGGCAGGGGAAGAGTAGCGTGCAACTACAGCGTCGTACAAGGTCTGAGCACTCTTGTACTGGCTAAAGTGTGCACGCTCAGTGGTCGGTAAGTGGCGGCGCACAGCAAGGCGAGCAGCAGCGTCACGTGTGGCCCACTGTGAGCGAACAGTGGCGTCAGCATTAGCAGCAGGGGCAGGGGAGGCACCAGAAGTGGGGTCAAACAGGGAGAGGCCGTCTGCCCTATCGCACTGCAGGAAAAGCTGCAGATCATCTACCCAGACCTCAAAGTCCACTGCCCGACCCTCAGCGTCAAAGGTGAGAACGCTAGGGGAAGCCATAACAGCAGTAGGCAGGGCAGTGCAGTGGTAGAGACTGTGCTCTTACCAGGTAGGTGGAGCGATCGGGCTGCTCGGCGGCTTGTCTGCCGAGCGGCTCGGCTGCAGGGCGGCTCGGCTGCTGGGCGGCTCGGCTGCTGGACGGCTCGGCTGCACGGTGCTGGGAGGCTCGGCTGTCGGGCGGCTCGGCTGCTGGGTGGCTCGGGCGGTCGGGCGGCTCAGGTGGCCGGCGGTTTGGTTGCTCGGCGCTGCGGGCGCTGGGAGGCGCGGTCGCAGGTGGTGGCGAGGTTGCAGGTGGCGGCGGGCCGCAAGGGTGGGCGGGGCCGCGGTGGCGACGGGGCCGAAGTGGGCGACGTAGCGGGGGCCGCGACGGGGCCGTAGCGGGGCCTAAGCGGGGCCGTAGCGGGGCCGACGGGGCCGAAGCGGGGCCTAAGTGGGGCCGTAGAGGGGCCGACGGGGCCGAAGCGGGGCCGCGACGGGGCCGTAGCGGGGCCGCAGCGGGGCCTAAGCGGGGCCGACGGGGCCGAAGCGAGGACTGAGCGAGGCCGCGACGGGGCCGACGGGGCCTAAGTGGGGTCGACGGGGCCGACGGGGCCGTAGCGGGGCCGTAGCGGGGCCTAAGCGGGGCCGACGGGGCCGTAGCGGGGCCGTAGCGGGGCCGTAGCGGGGCCGTAGCGGGGTCGTAGCGGGGCCGTAGCGGGGCCGATGGGGCCGACGGGGCCGTAGCGGGGCCGTAGCGGGGCCTACGCGGGGCCGACGGGGCCGTAGCGGGGCCGTAGCGGGGCCTAAGCGGTGCCGACGGGGCCGTAGCGGGGCCGTAGCGGGGCCGTAGCGAGGCCTAAGCGGGGCCGTAGCGGGGCCGGCGGGGCCTAAGCGGGGCCGTAGCGGGCGGCTCGAGGGGCAGTAAGGGCGGCCAATAGGGGCCACTAAGGCGGCTCGAGGTGCTACTCGGGTTAGGAGCTAAGCGCGCTCTGGGCAGGGAAGGAAAAAAAGTTCGTGGTGGGCCCTAGGCAGTATTCCCACTCGGGAACCTACTCGATACCATGACGAGAAGTGAGAATGGAATGGATGAACTGTGAAACAGTTGGGTACAAGTACTAACCCTAATTGGGTTGTACCCCTTATGGGCTACCCCACTACAGCCTACACAAATGTATAAGCTATAATGTTCTGACAAACAGAGGTACTGGCTTCGGTTGTTGCTGCCGGTTGTTGTTGTTGTTGTTGTTGTTTTTGTAGCGTCGCTGAGTGTGGAACGCGAATTCCGGTGCTGATGTCTTCTTTTTGTGTCGTTCTTCTTGCAGGTCCATGTCTTGCTGCTCGGCGTGGATTTCAGCGCAGAGCGCTGCTTCGGAGATTCTTCCGTGAGCTCGGAGAATGGCCTTTGTGGCGCGCCATTGAGGACCGAGGCCGCCGATGATGACTGTCATGAAGGCGTCTTCAGAAATCGATCCTCCGCATCGAAGAAGCTTGTCGCGCAACTTGCGACATCGATTGATATACACCATTCCTTTCTCCCCTGGTTTCATTTCAACCGTTGTCAGTTGCGCCATTAACCGACTTTGGCTTACGCTGTCTGCTGCTTGATACAGGCTCTTCAGGTGGTTGTACGCGAGCTCCGCGGAGTTGCCGTAACCTCGGTAAGACCTTATGTTCTGCTGTTGAGTCGGGGCGATATTCCTCAGTAGGATCGTGTACGCCATCATTGACTGATAGGTGTACTGCTGCTTCTCGTACTGTGTGCCGTTTGTTGGGTATGGCAAAGACCCGTCGAAGAACCCGAGTATCTGCGCGCCTTCCATCACCAGCTCGAACTCGAACGACCAGGTGAAGAAGTCCTTTCCATCGAAGGGTCTTGACGTCTGCATCTTCAGAACGTGTGCGAACTGCGACTGAACTTGTAATGCGTCCAGTGATTTTTCTTGTCCAGGTGAAGGCTGTGGGTGTGGCATAAAGCTGATGGACCCGCGCTCGTATGGAGCAAAGGTAGGCTGCTGTTGTTGATTTCCTCGCGCATATGATGAGCCGTCGAGACTCATGGGTGTTGCTCTGTTGTTGTTGCTGTTGTGTGACTGCGCAGGTGCCGATTGCTGGTGTTGCTCGTAGAAAGACATGAAGGAGAAAAACTTCTCCATCATGCTCTGGTCGAAGTCTGCAGGTTGATTCGCGGGAGTCTTGGTAGATGTTGCTCTGGGTCTTGTTGTCGTGCCCTCCTCTGTCTGTAGGCCAGAGGCAGGAGGTGGAGTAGGAGTAGTGCCCTGGGAGCCGTTGGAGTTGCTCCTTTCCTTTTGTGTAGCCATGCTGATTGATATTGTCGGTATAGAAGTTGAATCCCCCCTGATTGCTCTCATACCATGTTGGGCTGAAAAGCCCCTTTGGATCTTTGCAGGGGTGAACTCTGGGTAGAGTTGGTGTAGTAGCGGAAGCGTTAGTTAAAGGGTTGTGAACCACCTTGCGCTAGTATGTGAGGGCAAAGTAAGTTGCTTAAAGCAAAGAGATACAAGATTATATATGAATACAAGAAATATGAAAAGACACATTTATAACTACTTTACTGTTGCTGTTGCAGTTCGATACAGTGACAACTCGGGCAACTGCTCTGTAACGAGTCAGTTGTGTGTCCTTGCTGTCGCGCTGTATTTGTCAGGTCAAAGGTTGCTGACCTTTGACTTTCGCGTAACCTCATAATGTTCTGTAGGCTGTAGTGGGGTAGCCCATATGGGGTACACATTTCTAGGGTTGCATATTTGTACCACACTCCATTCCTTAGTGCACCATTCTCGTTTCAGTTTTCTCATGGTATCGAGCACGTTCCCTCGTGGGAACTGTGCCTAGGGCCCACCAAGTCGAAAGTTTTTTCCTGCCCGTAGCGCGCTCAGCCCGAGTCGCGCTCCCCTCTCTGACTTCGTCGAGCCGCCCTAGCGGCCAAGTCGCGCCGCCTTAGCGACCCCTGATTCGTCGCCCTAGCGACCCCGTCGCCCTACCTGCGCCTCGGCCCCGTCGCCCTACCTGCGCCCCGGCCCCGTCGCCCTACCTGCGCCCCGGCCCCGTCACCCTACCTGCGCCCCGGCCCCGTCGCCCCTACCTGCGACCCCGGCCCCGTCGCCCCACCTGCGACCCTGGCCCCGTCCCCATACCTGCGGCTCCGCCCCTAGCCCCGTCGCCCTACCTGCGCCCCGGCCCCGGCCCCGTCGCCCTGCTTGCAACCCCGGCCCCGTCGCCCCACCTCTGACCCCGGCCCCGTCGCCCTACCTGCGCCCCGGCCCCGGCCCCGTCGCCCTACCTGCGCCCCGTCATCTGCTGCAGCGCCACCCGCCACCCGAGCCGCCCGAGCTGCCTCACCTAGCCGAGCAGCCGACCGCCGCGCCGCCGTACAGCAGCACAGCTGAGCCGCCCAGCAGCTGAGCAGCCGGACAGCCGAGCAGCCGAGCCGCCCTGCAGCCGAGCCGCCCAGCAGCCGAGCAACCGAGCCGCCCTGCAGCCGAGCCGCCCAGCAGCCGAGCCGCCCTGCAGCCGAGCCGCCGTGCAGCCGAGCCACCGAGCCGCCGAGCCGCCCTACCTCCGAGCCGCCCGAGCAGCCCCGTCCGGTAATCACAGCGCCTCTGTCACTGCACTTCCCTTTCCCTACTGTGTGCGCTGCTAGTCTACTGTTATCATGGCTACCCCTAATGTCCTCGCTTTTGACGCCGAGGGTCGAGCCATTGACTTTGACGTCTGGGTAGATGACCTGCAGCTGTTCTTACAGTGCGATAGGGCAGACGGTCTCTCCCTCTTTGACCTCACCTCTGGTGCCTCTCCTGCTCCTGCTGCTGATGCTGACGCCACTGTTCGCTCACAGTGGGCCACGCGCGATGCTGCTGCACGTCTTGTTGTGCGTCGCCACCTGCCTACCTCTGAGCGTGCGCACTTTAGTCAGTACAAGAGTGCTCAGACCTTGTACGACGCTGTAGTTGCACGCTACTCTTCCCCTGCCACTACTGCACTGAGCCGCCTCATGCTACCGTACCTCTTCCCTGACCTTGCTGCCTTTCCCACAGTCGCTGACCTCATTACGCACCCCCGCACTAGAGACACTCGCTACCGCGCTGCGCTTCCTGCTGACTTCTGCGCCAAGAACCCCCCCCCCCATGTACATCACTCTCTACTACATAGTCACTCGCCTCCCTGACTCCCTTCGCGTAGTCAGGGACCACTTCCTCTCAGTCTGTCCCACCACTCTCACTGTTGACCTCCTCGAGAAGTCCCTCCTTGCGGCCGAGAAGAGCATAGTCGCTGTAGGGGCCTCTCGTGGTGACCCGCGCACCCCCATCTTTGAGGGATGTTCCCCCTCCCCCCTTCTGCCCTCTGTTGCCCTCTGCTGCTGCGGTCGACCTCCTTGGTCTTGAGTTTGTCGGTGCGGCGTCTGCCCCTAGCGGGAGACGCCGCTCTGGCAAGGGCAAGGGGGGCAGGGGCACTGGAGGAGCGAGCGGGGGCGGTGGAGGTGGAGGTGGAGGCGGCGGGGGGAGTGGGGGTGGCGGTGGGAGTGGAGGTGGGGGTGGAGGTAACGGTGGCGGCAGTGGAAACGGAGGCGGCGGCGGCGGTGGCGGTGGGAGCGGAGGTGGCAGAGGTGGTGGCGGTGGAGGAGGCGGCGGAGGCGGCGGAAGTAGCGGAGGCGGCGGAGGCGGCGGGGGGTGGCGGTGGAGCTGGTTGCGGGTGTGCGCAGAGTGGCTCCGGTGGTGGTCAACGCCAGCAGCAGCAGCGCGGTCGTGAGACCCTGTCCCCTCAGCAGCTCCGTGAGTGGTACACTGCACGCCAGCGGGGTGGGGGGCTTTGGTCCGTGCACCTACGTCCTGCGCACCGGCGACCGTGCGGGTGAGCAGTGTGGGGGTGCGCACCCCACCCAGCGCTGCTTTGGCCGCGTGACGGACGCGTGGCGTCACCAGTTCCCGGAGGCCACAGAGATCCCTCGCTGGGGCGAGCTGTCTAGGGCGGGAGTTGCCATCTATGATCTTGATTTTGATGCT